GCGCGCACAGCTCCATGAGGAACAGGGCTACTGACCTACCGCTTGGCACAGGGACCATACAATAGTATTCCTTGACGGCAATGGAGCCAGATTTGGGCCAGTGCATTGGTAGCATCATCAGCTAGACCAAGCCTCTCGGCCCCACTCGAACCTAACCCGTCTGCACGCACAGCTCCATGAGGAACAGGGCTACTGACCTACTGCTTGGCACAGGGACCACATGATAGTATACCGTGATGGTAATGGAGCCAGACTTGGGCCAGTGCATTCATAGCATCCTCAGGTAGACCAAGCCTCTCGGCCCCACTCGAACCTAACCCGTCTGCACGCACAGCTCCATGAGGAACAGGGCTACTGACCTACCGCTTGGCACAGGGACCACATGATAGTATACCGTGATGGTAATGGAGCCAGACTTGGGCCAGTGCATTCATAGCATCCTCAGGTAGACCAAGCCTCTCGGCCCCACTCGGACCCAACCCGTCTGCGCGCACAGCTCCATGAGGAACAGGGCTACTGACCTGCCGCTTGGCACAGGGACCATACAATAGTATTCCTTGACGGCAATGGAGCCAGATTTGGGCCAGTGCATTGGTAGCATCATCAGCGAGACCAAGCCTCTTGGCCCCACTCGGACCCAACCCGTCTGCGCGCACAGCTCCATGAGGAACAGGGTTACTGACCTACCGCTTGGCACCTTAGGGTTGTAGAGTTACAGGGCAGGTCACTTACAGGAACGAGGTGTGGCGGCATGAAACCCCCAGCCCCTTAGGCTGGACTACGATTTGGCCCGTCACAAAACCTCCTCTGACCGGCCTGTCCAGTTGAGGCAAGATGCTTCACATGGTGAACCTCAGGGTTGTAGAGTTACAGGGCAGGTCACTTACAGGAACGAGGTGTGGCGGCATGAAGCCCCCAGCCCCTTAGGCTGGACTACGATTTGGCCTGTCACAAAACCTCCTCTGACTGGCCTGTCCAGTTGGGGCAAGATGCTTCACATGGTGAACCTTAGGGTTGTAAAGTTACAGGGCAGGTCACTTACAGGAACAAGGTGTGGCGGCATGAAACCCCCAGCCCCTTAGGCTGGACTACGATTTGGCCCGTCACAGAACCTCCTCTGACTGGCCTGTCCAGTTGGGGCAAGATGCTTCACATGGTGAACCTTAGGGTTGTAAAGTTACAGGGCAGGTCACTTACAGGAACAAGGTGTGGCGGCATGAAACCCCCAGCCCCTTAGGCTGGACTACGATTTGGCCCGTCACAGAACCTCCTCTGACCGGCCTGTCCAGTTGGGGCAAGATGCTTCACATGGTGAACCTTAGGGTTGTAGAGTTACAGGGCAGGTCACTTACAGGAACAAGGTGTGGCGGCATGAAACCCCCAGCCCCTTAGGCTGGACTACGATTTGGCCCGTCACAAAACCTCCTCTGACCGGCCTGTCCAGTTGGGGCAAGATGCTTCACATGGTGAACCTTAGGGTTGTAGAGTCACAGGGCAGGTCACTTACAGGAACAAGGCATGGCGGCATGAAACCCCCAGCCCCTTAGGCTGGACTACGATTTGGCCCGTCACAAAACCTCCTCTGACCGGCCTGTCCAGTTGGGGCAAGATGCTTCACATGGTGAACCTTAGGAATGTAGAGTTACAGGGCAGGTCACTTACAGGAACAAGGTGTGGCGGCATGAAACCCCCAGCCCCTTAGGCTGGACTACGATTTGGCCCGTCACAAAACCTCCTCTGACCGGCCTGTCCAGCTGGGGCAAGGTGCTTCACATGGTGAACCTTGGGTTGTAGAGTTACAGGGCAGGTCACTTACAGGAACAAGGTGTGGCGGCATGAAACCCCCAGCCCCTTAGGCTGGACTACGATTCGGCCTGTCACAAAACCTCCTCTGACTGGCCTGTCCAGTTGGGGCAAGGTGCTTCACATGGTGAACCTTCGGTTGTAGAGTTACAGGGCAGGTCACTTACAGGAACAAGGCATGGCGGCATGAAACCCCCAGCCCCTTAGGCTGGACTACGATTTGGCCCGTCACAAAACCTCCTCTGACCGGCCTGTCCAGTTGAGGCAAGATGCTTCACATGGTGAACCTTAGGAATGTAGAGTTACAGGGCAGGTCACTTACAGGAACAAGGCGTGGCGGCATGAAACCCCCAGCCCCTTAGGCTGGACTACGATTTGGCCCGTCACAAAACCTCCTCTGACCGGCCTGTCCAGTTGGGGCAAGATGCTTCACATGGTGAACCCTAGGGTTGTAGAGTCACAGGGCAGGTCACTTACAGGAACGAGGTGTGGCGGCATGAAGCCCCCAGCCCCTTAGGCTGGACTACAATTTGGCCTGTCACAAAACCTCCTCTGACTGGCCTGTCCAGTTGGGGCAAGATGCTTCACATGGTGAACCTTAGGGTTGTAGAGTTACAGGGCAGGTCACTTACAGGAACAAGGCATGGCGGCATGAAACGAAGGGCTCGGACTGCGCTTGCCTGTTTTCGCTCTCTCGGTCCTCCTCAAGCTGAGCCCCTCCTTCTCTCTCTCTCTTTCTTTCTTTCTCTTCAAACGTTGCTGCCTTTCGCTCTCTTGCTCGCGGACCCTCTGAACATCTTGTCGTTTGCCTCGCCGGCAACTCCGAGACCCCGTGGAGGTTCAGTGCGGGATCCTGGAGGCGGTTGTGCAGTAGCTTTCCCTCTCTGTACCTTTCGCTCACGGAATACACCCGAATCACTGTATCTGGCGCGTCTCCTTTCGCTCCAGTCTCTCCCCCAGAAGTTTGCCTCGCCTCGCCTCGCGCTCGACGACGAGTGCGCCCTTCGAGAGTCCTCTTCGCACCTGGGCCGGGCACCAACTTGCGGATCTGGTCATCCGAGGTCACAGGCGCAAGCAGACTGTAGCCAATGTGAACAAGGCTACCGATACAGGGGCAACCACAAAAAGAACAATCTACAAGGCCAACCCGCTCATGCTCGCATCTGCCGCCCTCCCTGCGACAGGCCTTCTCTACAGCTTCGAGCCGCCACAGCAGTCCTTGCCTGCCGTCTTGGCCCCCGACATGGGCGTGTTCCCGCCACCGAGCGCGTGGACCGACTTGCCGTCGACCGATGAAGGAACGTCGAGCGATGGGTTGGCCTTGAAGAAGGAGGAGGGCTTGAACATGATGTCGACCGACTCGTAGGGCATGACGGGCCAGTCTGCGAGAGCGAAAAAGGGCAGGGAGAAGGCGAGAGATGGGGAAGAGGGAAGGAGGAAGAGGGAGCAAGGTTCGATTGTCAGTAGTCGGGCCGTCGAGAGCTGCGAGAACAGAGACGACGCACCTTCAGGCCGAGCGATGTGGCTGATGCCCAACGAGATGAAGGAGACCACTGCGAGAGGGCGAGAGAAGGCAGGGAGGAGGCGAGGGAAGGGGAGCATGGGGTCAGTGCAACGCCCTCGAGACTCGCCGCAGCGTGAAAGGAAAGCGAGGGCTCACGATCGACGTCGGAAATGCTGTCGTTGCGAGCGACCCACCCCTCGAGGCTGTCCTCGGGCGCCTGCTTGGTCTGGGTCGGGAACTTGCCGGCGGGGTAAAGGCTGGTGTCGGTGTACGGGACGGTCCAGATGTGGTGCTTGGCGAACGGCGCCCGGCGTGCGACGAGCGAGTCGTCCTTGACGAGGAGCGGGACGAGGTCCTTGCACATGATCTTGTAGCCGACCGGCGCGCCCGACGAGTAGTGCTTCTTGGCCGGGTTGCCCCAGATCCACATGCGCGACTTGGCGGCATCGGCGTCGCGCACGCCCTCGAGCGTCGTCTTGAGCTCGCGCTTGGTGTTGTAGAAGCCGTTGCCCGCCTGCGAGAAAGGATGGCCAAAGTCAGTGATCGACCTTCTCAAACGGAACAAACGGACGACCTTCCCGACCCGACCAGAGAAAGCGACGCACCCAGTTTTCAGCCGAGCCAGTCGGCGCATCGACGAGGTGGATCTCCTGCTCGTAGACCGAGTTCTTGACGCCGCTGCAAGAGGGGAAAGGGCAGGGCGAGAGGAGGAAAGAGGGGCGCGAGGCAGAAGGGGCAAAGGGGTGCGGGTCCTCGTCAGTCACGATGCTCGAGGACTCGAGAGAGCACACGTGAAGAGAGAAAGAGAGGGGCGCACTCGATCATCGGGTCGACCCGCAGCGAGAAGATGTGCTGGTGGTGGTGCGCCTGGACGCCCGGGCCGACGAGCACGCCGAACGGCGTCGTCTCGTTCTCGGCGGCCGTGTACGTGTTGAGGATGCCGGTGAGCTTGACGTTGCAGCCGAACGAGCCGTCCTGCTTGAACTCGAAGGCGAACTGTCGGGGAGGGAAGCGTTCGTCAGGGCGAGTACCCGGGGCGAGAGAGAGAAGGAAGGGGAACGAGGGCCAGGACGTACAGCATACTCGTAGTTGGCGACGGTGCAGATCATCTGGACGATGAGCTTGCGGGAGCGGACCGAGTGAGCGCGTCCACCGGGGCGGAAGTCGGTGTGCTGCGGGCGCGAGGGGGCCAGAGTCAGTGCGCGCTCACGCTCGAGGACACACGAGGCAAGGGGACGACGCACCTTCCACAGCAAGCCGTCGTCCTCCTCGTGGATGCAGACGACGTTCTTGAGCGTGACGGGCTGGCCGGCGTGGTTCGACAGCTCGGCGTCGAGGTAGTGGATCGAGCCCTTGCAGTCGCACCCAAGCTCGAGCGAGTTGGCCATCATGCCGAGACCGTACTCGCCGACGTCGAACGCAAACTTGCGCGGGTGCGGCCACTCGGGAGCGCCGTACGGGACGACCATCTCGGCGAACGAGGTGCGGTAGAAGACGGGGCGGTACCGCTGCTCGTCGCGGTCAAAGTGCTGGACGCTCGACAGGACGATGCCCTCGCGGAAGTTGTAGCCGATGTGCGCCTTCCAGCCCTGCCACCTGCGTGAGGGAGCGAGAGAGTCAGGCGTGCTCGACAGAGGGAAAGGGAGGCGAGCGACGCACGAGATCTCGTTTCCGTTCATCTGGAACGACACGCCGTCGGGCTGCGTGATCGTGAGCTCCTTGAGGTCGCGACGGACGTCCCACTCCTCGCCGTGCTTGGCCTTCTCGGCCTTGATGAGGTCGGGGAGGTAGTCCATGCGCTGCTGCTGCGGCGGGATGCGCCGGCGGCCGCTGTCGCGGAACGAGTCGCCCTCGACGGTGTGCGGGGCGGTCGAGCCCGAGAGGACGCCTGGCTTGGACGGGTCGGTGCGGTGAGGCGCAAAGTCTGCGCGGCCAGAAGAGGTCAGACGCGGTCGGCTCGAGGAGTCGAGCTGCAACGACGTACCGATCTTCAGGATCTTCTTGGCGTTGGTGTCGATGACGACGTTGACTGTGCGCGAGCGAGAGACCGAAAGTCAGCAAGGCGCGCCGAGGAAGTCGAGGAGAGGGAGAAGGAGACGGAGAGGGAGGAAAAGGGCGGGACGTACAGTCGAGCGGGTGCGCGTACAGGTGCTCGTGCGGGCCGAGGCGCTGATACACGAAGCCCTGCTGGAGGCGAATGTCGCCGAAGCGGTGCTCGTACCCGATCGACCACGCGTCGACCATGATCTGGTCGCGCTCGACGCCGACCTCGGCGCACAGGCGGATCACCTCGGGGTCGTTGCGCACGACCTGCTCCGACTCGTCGAGCTCCTCCATCGTGATGGCGGGCTGGACGCCCTTGGGCTGCTTGTCGACCGAGTCGAGCGCGGGCTTGCCGCCGCCCGAGGGGAAAGTGCACACGGCGACAAAGACGTCGCCCGAGAGGCAGTCGATGAGGTGCGCCTCGGCGCGTCGTGCCGGTCGGACGCCCGACTTGAACGGCTGGAAGTCGGTCGGCGAGACGGGGAGGCCGAGGAACGCAATCACCTCCTTCTTGGGGGCTGCACGACGACGCGGGAGGGGAGAGAGGTGGTCAGTCGACGGCTCGCTCGGCGGGGGGAGGGGCACGGGAGAGCAGAACGCACGTTCAAGGAGCGAGATGGCGCAGGACTTGAGCGACTTGACGCCGCGCTTGAGCATCTCGGTGCGGAAGCAACCCGACGCGAGCGAGATCTCGGCCGCCGTGAGCGGGTCGTGCGGGTGGTAGGCAGCCATGGCGCAAGCGTGTGCGTGTGTGTGTGCGTAGGCGTGCGTAGGTAGCTGGATGAGGAGAGAAGAGGAGACGAGCCGAGCAGCTGAGGACGAGCGAGTCGAGGAGAAAGGGCGGCGGCGCGGGGAAGCTGAGAGCCGCACGGAGCCGCGATAGACGGGCTCGAGCCGACCCTGCGCGCGCGAGATCTTGCCGCACGCTCGCTCGCTCTGCCGGAGCGCCAACTACACATGACGAATCCCTCGAGTACTGCGTATCGAGGATAGAGGCAAGCGCCACCTGCGGCAAGTCTAGCCTGAGGACGACGCGCGGACCGCGGCCCGGGTGCTCGCTCATTGCTCGGACGGCGCTCTCGGCGAACGCAACTCTCGCGTCTCTCGCTCAGCCTCGTAGCCGACAGAGAAAGCCGTGTCTCGAGAGCGGCACAGCCCGCTGCGCAGCGGCACGTGGAGCCGAGTCGTCTGGGCTCGGCCCTCGGCGACGACCTCGAGGCGGGTTCCACACGCTCGTGAGAGCCACAGCGCGTCCAGCGAGCCGAGAATAGCCGTCATGAAGGACGGAAGAGGTCCTCGTTGAAGCGCAGCTCGTGCTTGCCGACGCGTCGGCGAGCCTGTCGCGTGAGCGCGTTGGCGACGAGGCCAGAGGCCGCCTCGCGACGAAGCGGTCCGCCCGCGCCGGCGCGAGAGAAGTAGAGACAAATCTCGAAAGCTCGTCAGGTCCGGCGTGCTCGGGAACAGCAAGATGACGAGCTCGCGGCGCGGTGCCGGACCAGGGTCGTCTGCGTCGACCGGCGCCTGACCGCCCAGCTCCGGCGACACCTGCCCCGCAGCTCGTGCAGGCGGCCGACCGACTCGATCGTGCTGGTGCAACAGAGGGGCAGCGGGGAGAGCACAGTGTCGGCCAGCAGGGTGGTCGACCGGTCGCGCCGGCGTCGACTGACCGCAGAGCCCGGCGCTGGACCTGCCGCGTCCCTCGCTCCCGCCAGCGATGCACACCAGAGGCGGATCTCCCCGTATCGGCGTCGAGTGCGCAGGCAAGGGGCGAGCGGGCGATGGCGGGTCGAAGCTGGGCCGGGGAGGGAGGAGCGGGGCGAGGGAGGAGCGTGGGCGAATCGGTCGGCGGCGAGGGGACGGCGGATCTGGCGAGGCGGACAGGCGGGCAGAGGTGCACAGCGAATGCGTGTTGCTGTGAAGGAGGTCGAGGGAGAAGGTGATGAGCGAGCGGGAGCACGTGCCCGGCCCTCGGGGAGAAGATCACGAGGACCGAATCGCGCCCACGCACACCGTCGCTTGGCCCTCTTGCCCGCTCTCACCGCTCGAGCTTTGCACTTGCACCTGCGCCAGCTCTGCCAGCACCACCGCCAGTTACCCGCTCTGCACCCGAGCTCGCCCACCCGGTCGACACCACTTCGCCCGGCCTCACCTCTGGTCCCGACCGAGAATGGCGACCCTCGAACGACCTCGACCCGAGGCCACCACGGCCCCCTCGGACGCCTCGTTCGCCACCACGGCCGTCCCCTCGCCCTTCCCCGAGCATGCCGCGATCCGCTCCACCAGCGAGGGCTCGCGCGGGAGGACCATGGTCCCCGGCCCGTCGCACCGCCAAGCCGTCGCCGACCAGGACGACATGAGCGCCTCGCGCTCGCCCAACGGCAGCCGCAGCGGCCTCAGCCGCGTCGTCGGCCAGTTCAAGCGCGCCATGAGCGCCAGCCGCGACCGCTCGGCCGGCGCAGCCGAGTCGCAGGACCGCGGACGCCGCACGAGCGTCGACACGGGTGCGTCTATCGGCGCCTCTCTCTCTCCCCCGTGCCCTCCCTCGGGCGCCTGTCCTCGGCAAACTCGGGCGCTGACTCGCGCTTCGGCCCCTCCTCCCCCTCCTCGGTCGCAGCCGTCCAGCACGACGAGCCGCGAGGCCGTTCCCCCCTCTCTGCCTTCCAGCCTCGCTCCGTCTCTCGCGGCCCGTCAACCCACTCGATCCAGACCAACGCCGACGGCTCGTCGACCATGTACCCGCTCTCCAAATCGCAGACGCGCTCGTCGTCGCGCGGCCGTGCCCCGCCCGGCGGCAAGGTCTTCTCGACCGGGCGCGGCGGCGCCGGCAACCTGATCGGCGTCGCGCGCGACGAGGACATGTCCGAGTTCAACGGCGAGGAGGACGCCAACGTCGTGCGCGCCGTCAAGGAGGACCGCAGCCGGTCGCGCGAGCGCTCGGGCCGCCCAGAGGTCGGCACGACGGGGCGCGGCGGGCGCGGCAACATCCGCAGCGCGAGTCGCGGCCGGGACCTCGAGCTCGGTCGCGTCCCGACCGTCCTTGAGGAGCAGGAGCGCGCCGCCAACGAGGACGAGGAGCTGCGGTACCAGGAGGTGTTGCGCAAGCGCGAGCGCGACGGGCCCGACCACTACGTCAGCTCGGGACGAGGTGCGTCCCCTCTCTCTCTCTTCATGCCGCGGTCACTGACACTGTCCTCACCCGACAGGCGGCGCGGGCAACATTTTCAGCACGTTCCGGCGAGCCCCTTCGCAATCTCGATGACCCACCCTCCCAGCTTCGACCTCTCCCATGGCCCGCGTCACAGCTCGCAGCCTACCGCCCCCCTCGCTGGGTCTGTACCACTCCTGTCTCCCGTCGTACCTTCGTTCCACCGTTGTCATCAATCCCCCTCGACGCTGCTCAACGCGGCCAAGTTTCCCCAGTCCCTCGAGCGCTCTCTCGCGCGTTCTCCCGCCCTGCGCCCGGCCAGAGGCCTGCGAGAGCATCGTCCCAGTGCGTCGGTGCAGAGAGTGGCCCTGCTGAGCGAGAGATGGAGCCGTGACGAGCTTATCATGGCTCGCGGGCCAAGAGCCAGCGCCAGGCCGATCAGGAAGGGCAGCGACGCCGCCCTCCCGGCCGTCTGCCCCCTGCTCCTCCTCGCTCAACCACCCTCCAGCCAGCTCGTGCGCCCAGCTGCCCAGATGCCAGCCTTCCTCGACAAGATCAAGAACGTCGTCGCGCCCAACCACGATGAGGGTGCGTCCCTGCCCGGCCCCTTCTCTCTCCCTCTCTCTCCTCCCCACTTGGTCGCACCGCCCGGTCGCTTATCTCGCCCCCTTGGAAACAGGCGACCGCGGCCGTGCGAGCCACGCCCCGGCTCACGGCTCGCACCTCAACCCTGCCAACGCCGACCAGCCGCACGGCGCCGAGCCTCGCGGCCGCAACCTCACCGCAACCGGTCGCGGTGCGTCCTCCTCCCTCCTCCTCCCTACCCCACCTCGTCGACGCGAGCTGACGCCGCCCTCGCGCGCACGCCGCACACAGGTGGTGCCGGCAACATGAGCCGCTCGCGCGTGCGCGACGGGTCGCAGCCGGCCGAGTCGCCCGCCGACGTCGAGGCGGCGCGCTCTCGCTCGCGGTCGCGCGCCCGGGCGCACCACCACGGCGAGGACTACCCGGTCCCGATCGGGCGCGGCGGGCTCGGCAACGTGCGCGGCGAGAGCAAGGACGCGAGGAGCCGTGACCGCGAGCGTGAGCTCGAGGCGCAGGACAAGCGGGTCGAGGCTGCGTTTGCCGAGAAGCACAAGGACGACAAGTGGCTCAGCGGCAGGGGCGGCGCGGGCAACACGGCTCACGGCGACGAGGGCCCACAGGTCCACAAGTAGCGCCGTTGCCGTTCCTATCTCGCTCGAGCCCCCTTCGTCCTCCCCCTCGTCTTTAATCTGCTCTCGCCCTCCCGTCTTGTCGCTACCCGTAGCCGTCGTGCAGTCCCTTGTCCTATCGAACTCTCTCTTTCTCCTATCTCGAACGGGCCGGGCATTGCGAGAGAAGCGCGAAGGTTGCAGAGCGAGAGCTACTCGTCGTCCTTGCCGCTGCCGTGCGTCCCGCTCACCCGTCGCGGCAGAGGCACAGGCTCCGGCGGCGGCGACGGCAGTGCGCTCCTCGGCACCTGCACCGCGAACCCTCGCAGCTCGTCGCCGTCCTGCTGCGCCGCATCGCTGGTTTCCTGCTTCGACGGCAACCGGATCCCGAGCGCCGTCGCCGGCCTTGGCGGGACGTGCGGCTTCGGCGGCCGTGCGCCCGGGCTCGAGCCGCTCGCCGCCGACGACGACGAGGGCGAGGGTACGGGCGCCCTGCCCTTGCCCTTGTCCAGGCGGTCCGCCGACGCCGAGGGGACGGCCGGTACCGGCGGCGCGACTCGCCGATGCGGTGCGAGGGGCGCCGCCTCGTCCTCGCTGCTGTACGTCGAGTAGCCGTCGAACGACGGAATCGTCTCAAGCGGGAAGGGCAGCCCGGTGCGGCCGAGTCCTGCTGGCTCCGCCGCCGCCGCCGCCGCCCGAGGCTCGACCTGCTCGCCGTCGGCCTCGTCCGCCGACGAGGGCGTCAGGTCCCGGGTCCGGATCGACTCGAGCGCCTGTGGCGTCAAGTGGCTCGACGGCGACGGGAGCGGGAGCGCGAGAGCCGGCGGCGGCTGGGCGGTCGCGCCCCGAGCGGGCGACGTCGTGCCCGACCCGCCCGGCGAGCGCATCGGGAACTCGTACGCCCTGCTCGCTCCGAGCCCGCTGCCCGTCGCGCGCGGCACGAGTCGCCGGCGGGTCGCGTCGACGAGGTTGCCGGACGGGTCGAGGACGTCCTCGGGCGGGGCGGACGAGTGGCGGACGGGCGGGGTCCACGAGCGCGACATGGCCTTGGACGAGGACGAGGACGAGCCCGTCATGGGCCCGTAGTGCCGGCGCAGGGCGCCGGGCTTCGAGATGGACGGGTAGCGCTTGGCGGACGAGTGTCGAGAGAGCGAGGCCGAGGGGCTGACGCGGTGGGTGCGGCGAGGTGCTGAGGGCGGAACAAGATCAGTCACGCACTCTCGGTGTGAGGGGGATGAGAGAGAGAGAGGCGAGGCGCACCTTCAGACGTGACAGGCTCGGCCTTGTCGCCCTCGGTCTCCTGCCCTCGCTGCTCCTCCCAGTCCTTCTCCCTCGACGACGCCGTCACGCCGAGCGCCTCGGCCTTGCGCTTGCTCGCGCGCGCCGTCGACGTCGTCGACGCGAGGTGGAGGAACGGGCTCGTCGGGATACCGCGCGTGAAGCCGACAAAGATGACGACGAGGAGGAGACCGACGAGCTGAGCGAGGGTGAGGTGCTTCTCGAAGCGGATCTGGTCGGGGAAAAGCTCGTCAGTAGCGCCCTTCTGCAGTGGAGCAGGCCGATAAGGTGGGAGGGGAGCGTACCTCCTGGGAGAGCAGGTTGATCTGGGACGCGAGAGCGAGCCGCTCGCGCTCGAGGTCGACCCGCTGCTTCTCGAGCTCGAGCAACGACTGGCGCAAGCTCTGCTCCTGCCGGCTCCTCTGCATCGACGAGGACAAGCTTCGAGTCAGTGCGGCTCGCAGAATGCGCGCCAGTGACAGAGAGCGAGAGAACGGCCGACGCACCGACCCTTCGACGTCGCCCAGGCGGCGCTCGACCCGCCCAAACGCCTCGCGCAGCATGCCGCTCTGCGCCTCGATGAAGCCCATCGCGAGCGTCTGGTTGTGCTCGAGGCTCGCGAGGCGCTTCATGATGGTGCCATAGATCGATTCGCCCGGCTGGGGCTGGGCGACGGCGGGAGGTGGTGGTGGAGGGGGAGGGACAGGGAGGGGCGCGCGCGGAACGTGCGTCGCCGATGCTGGATGATGTGGTGGCGAGGCGTACGATGCATGTGTATCGTTGCGGGATGCCGTGGAGGAGGAGGAGGAGGATGGAAGAGGGGGTGGGCGAGGCGAGGCAACGGGATGGTCGCTGCCGGTCGCGGGTCGACCCGTCGCTGTATGCGTCACCGCCGTCGAAAGCGGAGGGACGAGGGACGAGGACGATGGAGGAGATGGCGAGGTTGTCGTCGGCGAGGAGGCCGGGGCGCGAGAGCTGTCGGCGGGCGATGCGGACGAGGTCGTGGCGACCGAGTCGGTGGTCGACGCCGTCGAGTGTGCGCCCGGCTCGGCCGAGGCAGTCAAGCCGGAGCTAGTCTCGACGGCCGTGATGGCGACAGACGTGGACGATGCGCTCGACGAGTTGGACGTCGAGGAGCCCTCAAGCGAGGACGAGGTGGAAGGAGCCGGCGGGGCGCTGCTCGTGTGGGCCGCCTCGAACGAGATCGATGGCGCGTCCGAGAGCGTGAATGGCGGCTCGTCCTCCAGGGGGGGAGAGGGCGAGGTTGAGGGCGCGGTCGAAGAGGGTGAGGGCGTCGGCGGCGCGCTGCTCGAGCCCGCCGCGGCCGCCGCCGAGGTCACGACGGGCGCCTCGCTCGACGTCTGCCCCTGCTCGGACGACTCGACGCTCGACACGACGACGGCGACGTCGCGCTCATCGACGCGCTCGACCTTGTCGACCTCGACCTCGAGCGCACCTTCGAGAGCACGCTCGGCGCCGTCCTCGTCGCCCTCGGCCTCGCCCTCGCCGAGCTCTGCCGCCGCGAGCGCGTCCTCGAGCGCCTTGGCCTTGCGCTCCGACTCGCGGAACGACTCGAGCTGCGTGTAGCCGTACACGCGCAGGAGCGAGACCGGGCAGTAGTACTCGCTGCCAAAGTGCGACAGGAAGTCGATGCGGACGTAGCGGCAGAACGGCGGGTTGCTGAGCGGGCGAAAGACCTGGTCGTGCGCGAGAGTCAGGAGGGCGCTTCGAGGTTAGGGTGGACGAGAGAGAGAGAGAGAGGACGGACCTGGACGCCGCGGACGTTGCGAGCCCGAAAGGTGCCGAGGTCGTGCCAGTCGTCAGGCTTGCCCGGGTAGTCGACGCTACAGCTCGCCTTGAAGTGCTTGAACGTGCTGGAGAAGAACTCAAAGTTGGCGAGCACGAGGGCGTCGATCTGGACCTCGTCGCACAACTCGACGTCGACAAACTTGGGCGTCGCCGAGCACGGCGTGAGCATGTACCGGTCCTTCTTCTCGGTCAGGATCGACGAGGCGCCCTTGGACTGGCGCGACGAGCGGTGCAGCTTGGCGGCGCACTCGGCGCCGGCGTAGTTGGCGCGGTCCTTGAGGTGCACGAGCGGGTCGGACGGCTCGCCCGTGCCGACGTTGGGCAGCGGCTGGATCGGCGACAGCGTCGACGACGTCGTCGGCGGCAGGCCGAGCGCGCCGTCCTCGAAGACGAGCTGGCCCTCGCCGCGCGGCAGCTCGCCGTCGAACCCGAGCCCGCCTGCGCCGCCCGCATCGTCGACCTCGAGCGGCGCTCGGGCAGCGCCGCTGTCGTTGGCCGCTCGCGGCACCTCGTCGCGCTCGGCACCCGAGGCGGTCCCGGCGGCGGCGTCCTGCCGCGGGCGCTTCTTGCCGCGCCGAGCGGCCGACGGGTCGGGCTGGACGACGTAACGCTCGCGCCACTCGTTGAACGACAGGAACTCGGGTGCGGGCGCCGCCTCGGTGAGAGGGAGTTCCTCGATGACGGGTGGCGGTGCGGGCGGCGGGACGTCGGCGGCGGCGGGAGGTGGTGGCACAGGTTCGGGCGAGACGGAGGGTGGGGGAGGAGGAGGCGACTCGACGAGAAAGGAGGCTGAGCTCGGCTGGAGGGTCGTGGTCGGTGTCGTGGTCGAGTCTGGCGCGTGCGAGCTGGATTCCACCGCCGCTGTTGGTGCCGCTGTCGAAGTCGAGACGAGCGACGATGAGGTCAAAAGGGTCGACGACGGCTCCTGCTCGACGACAGGGTCTGGCGGATCTTGTGGGACCAGCGACGTGCTGAGGGAAGCTTTTGGAGAGGCTGGCGCGCTTGTCGGACTCGCGGCTGGCGGTGCCGTGGTCGAGTCGGCTTGTCGAGTGACGGCGGGGAGGGCGAGGTCGGGTTCGGAAGAAGTGGCGCGTGCGGCTGCGACGAGGGCGCACAGGCACATCGAGCACCTCAACAGGCGCATGGTCGCCGTCGTCGACTCGCCTGGGCGGCGACGAGGTGTGAGAGTGTCGAGGGCAACCTGGCGCCTCCCCTCTCCGCCTCTCTTGCTCCTGCTCCTCACCGCAATCATGGCCACCTTCGCCAGCCTGAGCCCAGAGCTGCTCGAGGCCGTCCTCTCTGCTGCCCTCGAAGGCCCCGTGCGCCTCGACCAGCGCAACCTGTCCTCGTTCGCCCGCGTCAACCACGCCTTTGCCGCCGCATCGAGGTGCGTGCTCCTCTCGCCCTCTCGCAGTGCAGTCGGCGATGGGGTGGAGCTGACAGCACCTACCCCACAGACGCCTGTCGCTGCGCTGGATCACGGTCGACGACCCGGAGGTCGGCGCCAAGCTCCTCGAGACGCTCAGCTCGTCGCCTCACTGTGCGGCGAGCGTGCGCTCGCTCGTCATCAAGGACGACGCGTTTGACGAGCCTACCACGTTCAGCGACCTGTCGCAAGACGACCTTCTGCGCTTCGCCGTCAACCTCGTGTCGTTCGACAGCGCCCGTGCCTCGTTCGTGCCGCTCGCCGACGGCCGCAAGCCGCTGCCCTCGTTCCCCAAGACGCTCCAGTCGATGCGCCTCGGTCACGCCACCACGTCGCCGCCCGAGGACGCCTACGCCGCCAGCAGCGACGAGGACGACAACGACGGCGGCGCCAACCGGGACGAGCAGCGCGCGGCCAAGATCTCGGCCACCTACCTGTCGCTCCTGCGGTCGTTCCCGCGCACGCTCACGAGCCTCAAGCTGAGCAAGCTCGCCACCAACGCCCTGCCCCTGTTCCCGCCCGTCGCGCCCCTCGACCTGCCGCACCTCGTGAGCCTCGAGCTCGACATGGTCACGGTCCCGTCGGGCGTCTTCAAGTGGCTCACAGCGACGACGCGCGACCTCGAGTCGCTCAAGGTGTGGCTCGTGTTGGGCGTCACCGAGGCCGACCTCCGCGACTTTGCGCGGCGCAAAGGCGGCTCGCTCAAGCAGTTTGCGTTCAAGCCCAAGGGCAAGCAGGGCAAGAAGCTCGCCAACGAGCTCGTCCTGTGCGTCTCTCTGTCCTCGTTCCTCTACAATCGTTGTGACCGGGACTCACTCGTCATGATCCTCCCGCCCACAGCTACATGTCGCAGCTCGAGAAGCTCACGCTCGGCGACAAGGCGTGCGACCACGGCGTGTGGCCCATCCTGCCCTCGTCGCTCACGCACCTCTGCGTCGCCATCCCGGCCAACGTGCAGGACGCCCGCCTCACGATCGTCGCGAACGCGGTCAGGACGAGCCTCACCAAGCTGCAGCGTCTCGAGCTGTTCTCGGGCCTGTACTTCCCGCCGCCGGTCGAGGTCGTCTACCCGCCCAACGATCCGCTCGACCCTCTCGACTGCGGCCTGCGCGAGCTGCGCCTGTCGCACATCCGCTCACCGGCGTTCGTGATGTTCGTCGCCACCGTCGGCCGGGGCCTCTACACCCTCGCCGTCCACCATCTCTCGGCCCCGCCGACACAGTTCACGATGTACTGCCCGCGCCTGCGCCGGCTCGAGCTCGGCGCCGCCGACATCGCTCCTCCCGACATGCCGCACTCGATCCTGTCGCCGGCGTCGGTCCGCCTGTCGTCGTTGACGTTCCTGCGCGTCCACCTCGCGTCGTACGTCGCGCTCGACCACCTCACGGCGTCGATCGGCGCCATCCGCGCCAAGCAGCGCCGCGACGGCGGGCACCACCGCCTGCAGACGCTCGAGCTCGTCGGGACGTTCCCGGACAACCTCGTCGGCGAGGGCTGGCGCTCGGGGCGGGGCATGGACCGGCTCGTCGAGGCGTGCACGCGCGACGAGGTGCGCCTCGTCATCAACGGGCGGCCGATCGACAGTCTCGGAGACCTGTGGGGCGCGCTGCAGGGGCAGACGGGGCGCGAGACGCTCTGAGCGGGAGGAGGGAGCGCTTGAGAGCGGGTCGAGGGAACGGTGACGGAGAGAGGGGGCCTGCGTCGGTCGTTTGGTCAGTCTGCCTGTCTGTGCATTCCAATCAAGCTTTGCCTGCCTGCCTTTCGGCTCCAGCTTCCGCGAGCGAGAGACGCTCTCTGTCTCGAGGGCCCGTGCACGGTCCCAGATTTGGCTCTCACCCGCAGACGCGACCCCACTTTTGGGCGCATCTCCGGTTCCCGTGGAAGGCGGGCTCGCGCATCCCGCGGGAATCTGGCTTGACTCCCCACGCCTCACTCGGCCGCGAGCAAGCGACAGTCGAGCTAGAGCTGGCGCTTTGCTCGTGTGCTCACCTCGCCCTCTCTCTCTCTCTGCCAGCTTTGTACACACGGCACGCCCGACTCGACCTCGCGCATGGCAGCTCCGCAACGACCACAACCCGGCACCCGACCACCGTCCGACTCGACCCCTTCGACCCCGCCGCCTGCCGACGATGCCGCCCTCGCGCCGCCCAGCTCGATGCCGACCGACGTGCGGGCAGCAGAGGGGCAGTGTGAGCACGAGTACGGCTGCGACGAGACGCTCGCGGGCGACGGAGCGGAGCGAGACGTTGAGGTCGCCGCCGGCGGCGGGCGGGGCAAGGAGGCGGACGCACCGCTCGACGTCGAGCATGTGCACGTCGAGGACGATCCTCGAGCATGGACAGAGCGCAAGAAGAACAGCGTCCTCGCGTGCGTCCCCTACCCCTTCTTCCCGCACCGAGGCTCGAGCGCCGACCGTGTGCCGCTGGGGGACGACTCGCTCACCTCTTTCGCGTCGCGCAGGACTATCGCCTTTACGGCCATCGGCGGCACCATCACGGCGTCCATCTTCTTCCCCGCGCTCGAGTCGCTGCAGCGCGACCTGAACGCGACCGACGACCTCGTCGCCGCATCCGTCTCGATCTTTATCGCAGGCCAGGGCGTCTTCCCGAGCGTGTGGGCCGCCGTCTCGGAGGTCTATGGGCGCAAGTACTGCTACATCGCGGCAATGGGTACGTCCGCTTCCCCTGTCGCGTCTCTTGAGCGGCACCCGCACTGACTCGTCCTCCCCTCGTCCTCCCCTCTCCCGTCCTCCCTCCTCGCCCTTGCTCTCTACCCACGCACGCAGTCATCTACATCGTCGGCACGGTCGTCTGCTCTCAAGCGCAAACGATGCCCGTCTTCCTCGGCATGCGCGTCCTCCAGTCGCTCGGCTCGTCGGCCGTACTCGCTCTCGGCGCGGGCACGCTCGCCGACATGTACGACCCGCACGAGCGAGGGACCAAGCTCGGCGTCTACTACGCGTGTCCGCTGCTCGGGCCGGCGCTCGGGCCCATCATCGGCGGCGCAGTGACGGCGGCAGCCGACTGGCGAGCCACCTTCTAGTGCGTCGGCGTCTCTCTCTCTCTCTCTCCCTACGTCCTCGATCGACGCAGGAACTGACACACCTTCCCTGTCTGCGCAGCTTTCTTCTCGCTGTGCGTCTCCCCTCTGATCGGTCCTTGCGACGACGAACGTATCGCTCACCCTCGCCTTCCCTTTCTCCCTGTCGGCCTCTAGTACGGCTGCGTCTGCTTCCTCCTCGCCCTGTGGCTCCCCGACACGTTCCGCAAGGAGCGCTCTCTCGCGTGGCGCAAGGCCCGCGACCGCGCACGCCAGCACGCCCGCGAGAAGCTCGAGGCGGCCCGAGCGGCGCTTCCTCGACCCGGCGGCGGCGACGATAACGAGCCGGCGGCTGTCGAGGGCCGTGCAGCGCGCAGCGCCAAGGTTGAGCTGGACGTCGAGGCCGGGCGAGAAGGGCGGGAGCAGTCGAGCAGCGGGTTCTCGCCGCTCAAGAAGGTGAGGACGGCGTTGAGCGGGCGCAGCGGCGACGTCAAGGTGAAGATCCGGTTCCGCGACGTCAATGTGCGTCGGCACACCCTTTCTGCGCGTCTGTTGAGCAGCTCGTCGCGGTCACTGACCCGCACGCACCGCAGCCTCTCGCCGCAGCCGGCGCCGTCGTCAAGCAGCCCGCCAACCTTCTCGTCCTCACCTACTCGGGCTTCCTCTTTGCCTCTCAGTACACCGTGACGCTCACGTCGTCCCGCACGTTCGCTGCGGCGCCATGGGAGTACTCGCCGATCGAGGTCGGCCTGGTTCTGCTGGCCTTTGGCCTTGGAAACGTTGTGCGTCCTCCCTGCCCTTCCCTCCTTCTCTAGGCATGCCCTCGAACTGACTCGACGACTCACGCAGGTCGGCTCTGTCGGAGGAGGTCGGTACTCGGACTATGTCCTCGCACGGCTGCGGGCCAAGAACGGCGGCCAAGGCGAGCCCGAGGTGAGCTCGCTTCGCCCTCGACACGCTCGAGCCTCCACCCTCGTTTTGCCGAGCCACAGTCCTGACTCTGAGCACGCCCAACAGATGCGCATCAAGAGCACGTACCCGGCGTTCGCCTTCCTGCCCTGCCTGTTCATCGCGTACGCCTGGCTCGTCTATTTCGAGGTCAACATTGCCGGCCCGGTCGTCGTCCTCTTCGTCCTCGGCGCCGCCATCATGGTCATCTACGCCTCGACGCTCGCCTACATCGTCGACGCGAACCCGGGTCGGTCGACGAGCGCCGTCGCGTGCAACTCGCTCTTTCGAGGCGTTCTCGCTGTGCGTCCCTCCTCTCTCTCTCTCTGCCTCGGCCTCTCTCTCGCTCAAGTCTGCGCATACTGACTCGGTCCGGTTCGTCACCTGCAGTGCGCCTCGAGCCAAGCCGCCGAGCCCATCCTCGACAAGATTAAGAACGGCGCCTTCTACTCGGGTCCGTCCGCCTCTTCGCTCCTCTCCTGTGCGGCACCCGCTCACGCCCATTCTCCTCACAGGTTGGGGCGTCCTCCTTCTTCTCGGCGAAGGTGCGCTCGTCGTCGTCGCGATCTGGGGCGGCAAATGGCGTGCGGCGAGTCGGGCGAGCGAGGCGCGCGACGCCGAGCGACGGAGAGACAGGGACGAGAAGAGGCTCGGACGGATAGGGAGCGGCGAGAAGCAGTAGACTGCGATATCTAGACTTTTGCGAGCACTCGTTAGGCCCGGCGAGAGCGAGAGAGAGCGCGCTCGCTCCCCTTCGGCTTTCCTCTCCCTCTCGAGGCGGCGCGGCACGACCGAGACTGGGCGATGAACGATGTACGATTGCGTGCAACAGAGCAAAAGATAGACTGCCGAGGGCTCCAAGGGAATCAGAGGTACTGCGAGGCGAGGCGAAGAGGGCGAATTTGAGAAGGTCAGGTTCGGGCCGACGACGACGACGATGAGGACGAGTGAGAGTGGGACGCACCAGGGACGCGGCGAAGGCGACCGAGCTGGGTCGCTCGAGGCACGCGAGCGAGGCGTTGAACTTCTCCTCGAGCTCCTCGGAGCCGATGGCCTTGGCGGCTGCGGGTCGGGCAAAAGAGGGCGAGTCAGGGACGCGCACTGGGAGAGAGCGGGCTCGAGGACGGGGCGACTCACCCATCGACATTTGTCGGATGAGCTCTTGCAGGCGGCGGAAGACGCGGATGAGCGAACCTTCAAAGACGTCCGTCATCTGCCGAGAGGGAGGGGGCCGGGAGGGCAAGTCAGCCTCACGAGCTCGCTCTTTGACGAGGTGGGGGAGGGACAGAGAAAAGAGGGCGCACCTTGCAGATGTCGGAGAACTTGGCGCCGTTGCACCACGAGTAGACGGCGTCCATCAACTCGGGCTTGAAGCTCGCGACGTACTCGTCCTCGACGACGGGCATCTTGCTCTCGATCGAGATCTTGGCGATGCGCCGTGCCGCCTCCTGCATGACGCGCAACGGGCCGGCGAGCTCCTCCTTGAGCTTGGACGTCTGCTCGGACTGTGAGCGGGTAGGGAGAGAGGAAGAGGGAAAAGGGTGGGGCGAGGGTCAGTGCGCGCTCGTCGAACACGAGGACAGGGTGGAAAGAAAGAGGAGAGGGGCGCACCTTCTCGTCAAAGACGAAGCAGCTCAACAGGGCGGCGCACTGCTGCGGCGTCAACTCGTTGAAGAGGCCGGCGAAGACCATCTCGGTGAGGAGGAGCTCGTCGCCGCTCGAGATCTCGCACGCGACGCGGCCCTTCTGCTCGACGACGTCGTCGTTGGTCGCGAACCCGAGGCGCCTCAGGGCGCGCTTGCGGTTGCGCAGCTCGTCGAGGTGCATGACCGAGTGCGCCTCGGTGATCTTCTTCTTGGTCGTGCGGATCTTGAGCTTGAGGGCCTCCTTGGCCGCGTACTGGTCGTACAGGGACGGGAGCGCCGGGTCGGTGTGCAGCGGGTTCGACACGAGGCGCGACTCGAGGATCTCGATCTTCTGCTCGAGGGGACGAGAGACAGAGTCAGTGACTGCCCGAGCCCGTCGCGCTCGGCGAGGAGCGCGACGACGAGGGAAGAGAGAGCGACGCACCCTGAGCAGCTTCTTGAACGCCTCGTCGACGATGCCCATGTTCTCGACCGGGTCGAGGAGGGCGATGCCGCTCGGGAACCTGCGCTTGACCTCCTTGACGCTCTTGAGGGCCTGGTTGCGCGCCTCGACGGGCTTGAGGTCCTTTGCGAGAAAGATGCGGATGTGCGAGATGCCGTCGAGCGTCGACAGGAGGACGGGCACGACGGCAAACTCGCCCTCGTCGGCGGTCGCGCCCGCGCCGGTCGTCGTCGTCGGGCAGGGCCGGATCGTGCTCATGGCGTTACCCGGCGACGCGAGCTTGTTCTTGCCCGTGACGGACGCGGCGGCGGGTGCGGTCCCGCGCGCGACGTGGAGGAGGACGTCGACGATGTACTGATTCTGGGGCGGTTCGTCGGCCGCGAGGGGCTTGCCCTTTGCGCCGACGCGCTTCTGGTAGTTGACGACGACGCCCCAGCCAAAGTCGAGGTCGTCGTGCTTGACGCGCACGAGGCGACCCGGTTGGAGGAACGGGAGGGCGTACGTCGGGTGGTTGAGGACGTCGCGCAGGTCGCGGTTGAGGATGTCGAGCTGCTGCCTGAGGTCGTAGTAGTCGGCAATGTTGTCCTCGTCCGGGATGACGATGGCGGCGCGCTGCTCGTCGAGCTGGCGCAGCTCGTCCTCGAGCTTGGGCACCGACGCCGTGTTCTGGAACTGGTAGAACGAGCGCTCGAGCATGTACTCGGGCGTGAGGCCCTCGACGCGCATGAGGTTGAGGATCATGTTGTACCCGAGGTGGAACGCCGAGTCGAGGCGGTCGGCCTGGCCCTTGACCATGCCCTTGGCCGCCGCCGGCTCGAGCTTCTCGTCCGTCATCATGATGACGATGCCGCGGTCGTCGAGGCCGCGTCGTCCCGCGCGACCCGACATCTGGATGTACTCGCCGCCCGACAGGTTGCGGAAGTCGCGCCCGTCAAACTTGCGCACCGAGGTAAAGACGACCGTCTTTGCGGGCATGTTGAGGCCGATCGAGAACGTCTCGGTCGCAAACAGGACCTTGAGGAGGCCCTCCTGGAACAGGATCTCGATGACCTCCTTGAGGATGGGCAACAGGCCGCCGTGGTGGATGCCGATGCCGCGCTTGAGCAGGGGGAGGATGTGCTCGATCTGGGGCAGCTGGCGGTCGTCCTCGGACAGGCTCGAGATGGCGTTGTTGAACACGGTGTCGACCATGTCGCGCTCGTCGTCCGTGTTGAACTCGAGCTTGGACATCTGGAGCGCGAGCCCCTCGCACTCGCGCTTCGAAAACGCAAAGACGATGACGGGGTTGTAGTTCTTGACCATGATCATCTTGACGATCTTGTAAATGTCGGACGGGCCTGCGTGTTTGTCGGACAGAGGTCAGTCGACGGGCCCGACAAGGAGAGACAGAGAGAGAGAGAGAGCGCGCGCACGCACCCTTTGGCCCGCCCTTCTTCGTCTTGCCCTTGCGGCCCTTTCCGCCCGTCGCGCTCGCCGGGTCCTCGCCCTTGGTGTCGCCGCCCAAGGCGCCCATGGCCTTTGCAAAGTTGTCCTCGCGAAAGTTGCCCTTCTCGTCGACGACGAGGTGGATGCCGTCGGCGCCGGCCGGGAACAGGTAGTGCTGGAGCGGGGTCGGGCGGTAGTCGGTGTAGACGACGTGGCACGGCTGCTGGTGGATCGTGCAGATCCACTCGGCAAACTCCATGGCGTTGGGGATCGTCGCCGACAGGAAGACGTAGCGGACCTTGTGCGGCAAGAGGATGATCGTCTCCTCCCACACGACGCCGCGCTCTGCGAAACCGGGGGCACACGACGAGGGTGGTCAGGGTCCTGTATCTTTCGCGACCGCTCGAGAGCGAGAGAGGGAGCGAGGACGAACCCTTGTCGCGCATGTAGTGAATCTCGTCAAACACGACCCAGGCGACCTCGCGCATGATCTCGGAACCGCGGTACAGCATCGAGCGCAGAATCTGCGGCGGGTCGGGCGGCGTCCAGTGTCAGTGAACCTGCCCCTCCGAGTCGGCGCGCAAGACGCAGGCAGGAGAGATAGAGGGGCGCACCTCGGTGGTCATGACGAGACACGACGCGGTCGGGTTGATCGTCACGTCGCCCGTCATGAGGCCGACGTCGCCAAACTCGGCGAGCATCTCGCGGTACTTCTGGTTCGACAGGGCCTGTGCACGGGGAGGAGGAGAGTCAGTGAGAGGGCTCGCCCAGGAGAGGAGGGAGAGGGAGGGCGGCGCACCTTGATCGGCGACGTGTAGACGACGCGCTGTCCCTGCTTGAGGCACTGGGCGATGGCGTACTCGGCGACGACCGTCTTGCCCGCCGACGTGTGGGCCGACACGAGGACCGACTCGTTGCGCTGGATGCTCGCGACCGACACCTTCTGGAACGGGTCGAGCTCGAACGGGTACACGCGTGCGGGCTCGGCGGGGGCGACGTGCGACGAGATGGGGACGTAAGGGTAGTTGGGCGGGAGGGCGACCTGGTGCCGGACCTGGTGCTGCAGGACGAGGCCCTCCTCGGAGCCGGCGCCAGCGGCGAGGCCGGCCGAGGGCTTGATGGTCTGGGTGACGGTCGTCTCGAGCTCGTCGGTGGCGGTGAAGGCGTCGCCGACTCGGGCGGTGCTCGTGTGCTCGTCGGCGAGAGGGGCAGGGGCGTTGTCGTCGTTGGCGTCCGAGGTGCGGGGCTTCTTGGGCGCGTCGCCGTCCTGGGGCGAGAGCTGGCGCTTGGTGCCTGCTGGTGCGGTCGTTGCTATGCGGGAGGTGGACGGGGTGGTGGAGGCCGTGTCGAGCTTGGAGGAGGAGGCGACCGGGTTGCGCTTGGGGTTGGACGACGAGGCGGCGGGTGGTGGTGGCGGTTTGGAGAACGAGGCAAAGAGGTCGTCGGCCATGGCGGGCGAGGTCGGCTCTCGGTCGAGGTGGCTCAGAGGTCAGAGAGCGACGAGGACGAGGACGAGGTTGGCCGGCTTCATCTCTCGCTCGCTCATCTCAGCTCGGCTCAACTCGAGCGAGCGTACAAGCACCCGCCATGCACGGCTACACCGACTCGGTCCACGTTCCGCTCCACCTCCCCGCCCACCTCGTCAAGCCCGCAACCTCGTCCTCCTCGTCGAACAAGGCCAACAAGGGCAAGGCAAAGGAGCTCGCAAACCCTCTCCCTGCGACACCTGCGACCACCACCGCCGCCACGTACAATGTCGCCCAAGGCTGGTCCGACCAAGAGCGCGTCCACATGCGCCAAAAGGTCGACATGGCCGCCCTCCGTCCGTCGACTCTCTCTCTCCTCTCTCTCCTCCGTCCCCGACCCCAGCACTGATCCACTCGAGCCCCACCCACAGTCGGCTACTCGACCGTCCTCCTCACGCTCAGCATCCCGCCGACGTGCGACCCCTCGGTCCTCGCGTTCCCGACCCCACTCTACCCCGACATCGACCCGCGTACGGCACCCAAGGGCACTCAGGGCCTCGTCCTCCAGCTGTGGAGGGTGACGGTCGAGCCGTACGGCGACGACGCCGTCAAGGGCGCGGGCCAGAAGGGGTGGTACGGCTTCGTGAGTCCTCACGCGCTCTCTCGCTCGGTCCGCCTCACTGCCTCGCGTGGGGTCTCTCAAGCCTGCTCCAGGCTGGATGATGTCGGTGAGATCGTCGTTATACTGACACGCTCGTCGTCCCGCAGGCCAACTCGACCGCGCCGCTGTACCCGCCGCACACGACCCTCCTCGCCGTAACGCCCACCTCGCTCCCCTCGTTCACGCACGTCGCCCTCTCGCTCTCGCCCCCCTCGGCCTTCTCCCCAACCCTCGTCACCCTCGACCCGTCCCAGTCCCCTCGCCTCCCCTTCCCGCTCAAGCGCGGCCTCGTGTCGTCCCTGTCGCGCGCAGGCGTCGCGTTCGAGCTCGTCGTGCGCGGCGTGACGCGCCTCGATGATGCGGCGGCTGGGGACCAGGTCGGCGACGCGGGCAAGAGGAGGCGGAACTGGATCGCCGGCGCGAGGGAGGTCGTGAGGGCGACAGAGGGGAGGGGCGTCGTCGTGAGCAGTGGGGCACACCGCGCGGGCGAGATGCGCGCGCCAGAGGACCTCGTCAACCTGTTGCGTCCTCCCTCTCTCTCTCTCTATCGGAGCGTCGCTCGACATTGGGCCACCGTGACTGACCCGCCGCCCTCGCGCAGGTGCTCCCTGATCGGCCTCCCGCCCCCACAGGCCAAAGACGCCCTCACCGTCAACCCGCAGCGCGCCATCCTCCGCGGCCGTGCGTCCTCCTCTCTCTCCTTTCTCTCTGTCTCTCTCTCTCGTGCGTCCTCAGCCACGAGCTCGCGAGCCTGACATTCTCTCTCTCTCTCCTGCCCTCCCCCTCTCGCCTCACCCCGCCCCTCGCTCTCTCTCCCTCCCTCCTCCCTCCCCCTCTCCCTCTCCCCCCTTCCCTCCCTTCCTCACCCGTAACCCCGCACACCCCTCACCCCGAGTCTCCCTCCGCCAAACCTAACGCGGTGTCCTCTCCAACCCGACCCTCCTCACGCACGCCCCGGCCACCGCTGCGGACCCGGCGCCGCGAGCGGCGCCGCCGCCCGCTCTCGCGCTCGCCGCGCCGCTTTAATGTCCTTCTAGCTTTGGGCGAAGGGTCGAGGGCAGTGCGGGACCGGCGGGATGAGGAGGAGCGCGCAAATGGCTGCGGAGATGTGCTCGGTGGGGCCGATGGTGCGGCGAGCGCACGAGCGGCAGCTGGGGTAATGCAGGAGCAGGCGTTTGGGGCAGGTGACGGGCGCTAGAGGGCACGAGAACCGCAGGG